GTACACACAAAGTAAAATGACACAAACTTCTTCTTTCTTTTACTGCATTCTTCTTTCACTGTCTTGCAGTTCCAGTGAAGGGTCTCCCACTTTTGTACACTCTTTTCAGCGCACCTGCACTTTTTGGTTTAAGGTGCAAGGTACGTCTGAGTAAGACCCTCACGACAGATAGGACAACTATCATAAGGATGCCAACGATGATAGCATCCTTCCCGCTGATCTATAAGACAAAGACGATTCAGGCAAGCAACCTCGTCACAGCAGGAGCCAGGACGGCTAGCATCAACCATACCTCTGAAGCATGCACGGCAGAGGGCATGCCGGTTGCAGGTCATGACGATTGTGGGGCGTTCACTATCACACTTAAGTGCACATTCGCTATAGCGCCCGCAGGCACAGATGGGTCATACCGCATCTGGATGTAGACGATGTTCACAATCCGGATACAGGTGGCATCCCTGCAGACAGCGGGCCCGAAAAATAATATGGTCGTAGTGACATCGACAAAGTCGATGCTTTCCAAAGCCAAGTGTAACTGTGTCATATATATTGTGTCATATATATATTGTCACACTGTGAATCAGAGCGCTAAGGCGGGGGAAAAAAAAAAAAAAAAAAAGCAAAACAAGTATATATATATAGTCAAACAGGGCTGCCCGGTAAACCGTAGGCAGACAGGGAGAAGAGGACAACAAACGAGGCGTCGGAGTTTCACCGACTCATCAGGAGGCTGAACCCTCGACAGTCTGCAGAATCCCCTAACTGATTACACTGTAAGGGATAATCCACCTTAACCCCAGCTGTGGTTAAGCATCAACACTGCCTGATACCTTGAGGTGGGCACCAACCACTGCCCTCAAGGTACCTGTGGCAAAAGTCAAAGCAGACTATCACTCACCCACACCAGATGGAAAACTCTATATATACATAGTCAAAAAGAACTGGCCGGAAAACCGTAGGCAGAGAGGGAGAAGAGGACAACAAAAGGGGCTCTAACGAGCTGTTTCATCGGAGTTTCACCTACTCATCTGGAGACCGAATACACACACACACACACACACACACACACACACACACAACGTATTTACATATATATGCATACACAATTCATTCACAGGGACACCAGTTTCAGCGTCTGGGTACACATGCTGATATTGGTTTCTTTTTTTGCCCTGTTTTTGTTTTAGGTCGAGTTTTATGGGTGCCAAATTCCGTGCCGTGTGACTGTAGAAAAGTATCGTGTAGAAAACGATGAAAATTCTCAACATTCTGGGGAAATGGGGCAAATTTTGCGTGAAAGTGCATTATCGCCTTGGGAGTGGTGCTTTCTGTTTTCTTTTGTTTTTGCTGTTGGTTGTTTGGTTTCCACTCTATGGATTAATGACAAGGATGTTAAAAGGGATTGGGTTTTTGTTATGAATGGTATGACAAATTCAGGCCTTTGCTAGTCAACTGTCATATATATGCCGGGGGGTAACGAAAAGGAACGGGGGGCTTTGACAGACTCGTCTGAGTTTCACCGACTCAGCAGGACGCTGAACCTATACAGTCTGCAGAGCACCCTAACCAATGATACCCCTTAACGCCAATTGGGTTAGGGCACCGACCACTGCCCCACAACTTATACCCTGAGGTTGGCACCAGCCACTACCCTCCACCCGCTCAAAGACGAGATACTCTACCGACCATCGGTTCACACCTCATCATAAGCCACCAGAACCCCCACGGAACAAAGACATGTCTCCCACAGCTAGAAAATGCACTCAAGACACTGCTGTGCATTATATATAAGCACGGGAACACAACTACCAACTAACAGCGTGTATGCCGCACAGATAGAGCAAAAAGAGAAGATAAGGAAAGAAACTTCGCAGAAAAGAAGGCAGCGCAGCCTCATTTTCGTTCTTTTCGTGTATGGCCGTCCGTCATGCGAGCGAAATCACACACAAACAAACAATACAGGCCTCCCGTATACGTCCAGGAAACCACACACCCTAGCTCCTCCTTCCCCTACGATATCTCGGCTCAGCTCTCACTTCACGCCACTTCTATCTGCACTCCATGCCCACTTGCCCTAGTTACCTGCGATCAACACAGTTGCTTCTAAATTGTTGACTCCATCTCTAACTCGCCAACTTTCGCTGCGACTCTGTTGATCGCCGCAACTCCGTTCATCGTAGCTAAAGGGGCCGAGGTACAGATGCAGCAACTTCGTTGATCGCTGCTAATGAGTGCGAGAGAGCCTGGACTGCAGACAGGAGTGGTTATAAGGAACAGCTGAGCAGGGAGATCGGAGCTAGAGGGGGGATCAAGGGTGTGTAGTTGCATGGACCTGTGGGCGAGGGCTGTGATACTTGTGTGTCTGCATTTGTTCGTGCAAGAGACCAAGCGAGAACCATATAACAAAAAAAAAAAACAATGAGAGTGCATTGTTTCTCTCTCTCTC